CCACGTGCTTGGCAGTGAACCCAGAAGTGGACCAGAAGTACCAGTTTACTACACTGGGGGGCCCCCTTGCATCCCCCTGGTTCAGCAATCAGTTGTGAAGGGACCTCAGGTGTCACTCTAGACCCAAGAGGCACCAGTCGCCGAGCTGGGGGGCCCCCAGCGTGCTCCCTGGCGGACCCAGAAGTGCTTCTGGTCCACTTCTCCGTCTGCTGCTGAGCAGGCTGGGGATCCCCCTGCGCTCCTGTGGGATGCTCCATCTGTCCCAGTATCACAGAATTCACAAGCCACCAGGTACCTTCAGGTATGTAGAAAAAACATTTGAAGTTGCATCTATGTCTGAATCTTTCCGAATTGATTCAGAGGGTTCTGAAATCGAGTTGGAGAGATTAAAGGGTCTCCTGATTCGATTTGGAGATTTGGACACCGAACTGGGCTGAATCTCCACTGAATCGAATGAGGGACTGAAGCTTCACACAACCCTACTGATTCATTTAGTCTTCACAGGCTAATCTAAGCTCCGTAGATTGAGCTGATAAATAAGTAAAGACATGTTCAACTTTTGATTCTGGAAATGCAGCCACATGCCTGCAGTGGCTTAGACCAAAAGCCCACAGGTGCAAGAACACACCTTCCTACTCACTTGAAGCAGACAGCTTGTGCCCAGGCTAGCCTGTCCATCCTGGGAGGGGGGCTTTGCACGGGAGGTGCAAAGCATTCTGAGATGCTGGATGACTATGAATTAACTTGAATCTGGAGGGGATCTGGGACAGAAATTCAAACTGATTCAAACTAGATCAGTTAAGTCTGATACTACATCCATCCAGGTTTATCTTAAGCTGGTTGCAGCCATTTGGAAAGTGGTTTATGTGCACTGAACTTCTGTTATGTTACAAATTTGAACCAGTTTCCAATCACTTATACTGGTTTGTGTGTAATTTCTGTCCCTAGCCAAGATGCCAACTTTTTCTTTTTCTTTTTTTTTTTTTTTTAACTAGTTTCCTGGAAGAAATAATAGGAAAATGTCTAGGATAATGGCAGGTCAGCTTGATTCTTCCCACAGTCCAGTGCACACAGAGTAATAAATAAATAAATAAATAAATAGTTAAATAAAAAACCAATAGAAAGATGGAAGGGTGGGCAGTATTGGGAAGGTTCAGTAATACTCCTCTTACCAAACCAGGCCTGCTGTTCTCCCTGCACTTCTATAGCCAGTCCGAAGTCAGCCAATTTGACAGCAGCACCCTTACATTTACTTGCCAGTAACAAGTTCTCAGGCTGGGGAGAGGAAAAGAAAGAGCAGGGATGGGGGAAGAGAGAAATCCATATTAAAAACTCCTTCCCTTAACATTTTGGGCTATTAAATTTACTCTCCAGATCCAGTATGAAAACATGCCTAATGTACAGCAGCAGAGCGGTCAGTGGAAAATACAGTCTTAAATCATAGCTCTTAATATCCCCAAAAATGGCTTTATTACCAGTAAAAAGAAAAAAAAAGAAGAGTCTCCAAACCTGACACTGTCTCACCTTCCTCTGTCCATACTTACACTCTCTGTACTGTTCTCAGCCCACCCCCTATATACCTTGTCCCGACACCAGATGGTGCTGGTAACACAATCTCAGCAGCAAAGCATCCACTCCTGTCATCTCCATGCAGAGTGGAAAAAAAAAATTGATGCAGCAGATACAATCTGCAGTGATGTGGTTCCCAAAGAACATCACATGGTGCCCAAAGCCCTGGACAAATAAATACAGTGCTAATAAGGATTGCCAAACAGAAATCCAGCATGAGAAAGCACTGTCTAGAAAGGCAGGAGCTTTCATCCCTTGCAGGGAAAACCTTGTATTGCTCACTGCAGTGCTGCTTGTGCCACTATCAAAGACTCCATCTATTTGTGCTGCAAAAATCTCTCTTTACAGTGATTAAGTTCTTCTATGTTACTATTACCCACCCATATCAGTGCAGGCCCCATGTCACCTCTCTCATGTGCTGGGCTGGGATACCACTCCTCATTCTTCCATCACTGAGGCAAAACTGTGCATGCAACACAACCCAAAGGCAAAGCGATTGCAAAACATTCCCCCAGGCTGATGCACTGCCTCCTCAGAATCACCAGGGAGGATAGCAAGGAGGATCTTGTATGAAACCTGTAAGCCTTGGATACTGCAGTTGAGCAGGAAATGGAGCTCCTGCTGCAACATGAATGGCAGCAAGATACGTAAGTCAGAGAAGAAAGGTAAGAGAATAGACGGGAGCCCAAACCCTTCTTCCACTGTTCAGTTACACATTGACTGGAGTTTCACTTGGCACCACCGCTCAAGGGGAAGCAGAGGGCTAGGAATTGTAGCACTCAACCAGGTTGGTTTTGTAATACACACAGGCCTTGCACTTCCTGCATTTTCAGGCACTTATAGGTATTATTTGCAACTCGTATAGCAATAGTATCCACTGCAGTCTTTAACTGCTGCCTTGTCTAAGGAGGGAAGAAGAGGGTCCACTGCTCATTCACCCAGGTGGAGGGAGGGGTTAGGAGAGTTAGGTGTGGGACTCAGCTCCAGTTCTCTATTCTGCTGGGTACTCATGCATGTGTAGTAAACTGGGCATGCATGAGCCCATTCCTGCTTGCACTCCTACAGGAAGTGGTTTCAGGCACATGCAGCTCCACTACTGCCTGTGCTTTGGGAGAGGGCAGGTGATCAGGAGTGGAGAGAGAAAGACGACCAGAATCTTTAGGAACACAAACCTGACGGCCCCATTGAGAGAGCACAATGTTTCTCAACCTTTTGATAGGCGGGACACAGCTTTTTCTGAATTAAAGTGGGTGGCACACTTCACTCACTGGACCATGGGTCTGACCCCTCCACACAGGGCAAGCAGCACCAGGAGCCTATCCAGACCATTTTCACAGCAGAGCCCATGGGAATCATTGTGATATAGCACCTTCTTAAAGCTCTCCATTTCCCCTCTTGGCAATTCATTCTCGTCAAAGGAACCCTATATTCTACCAACTGACCCTCCCCACCCCCGCAACATATTGCACTTAAAGCATGATTAGACAGGGATCTAGGTTTTCCATTTCCCACAGAAAAATGGAATAGACCATGGATTTTACCTTTCACCAGAGGCAAATGCGGATTTCTCATTTTACTAGAGAAACCTGCAGATTAAAATTTTGCAATGAGCTCCTTACAAGCTGTCAGAGTTCCAACCTGCAGGGAGCTGGGAGGAGGGTGGCGAGACAGGGGGTGCCATGTGCATGTACATGCACATGGCCTCAGCATCCTGCAGAGCAGCTCCAGAAGTTAAGTGGGGGGGGGGGGGGGGGGGGGGGGGGGGGCCCTGG